TCCCTGGCTAACTGGCACTGAAACAGAGGCCCCGGTCAGCGCCCCTGCCCTTGCTGCAGCCCGCCAACACAGCGTTGTGCTTGGGTGCTGTGCGGGTCATGAGGCTGCAAAATGTTAGACGGCCCAGCGGAAGCTCGTGCAGTTCTTAGAAGGAACAAACTCCCAAGCCTTCCTTCTCCTCACTCTCCTGCAAGTCTAGCCCCGGGCACACCCACGTGGCTGCCCCAGCCCTGGCTCACAGACGCGCTGCTTTTCCATTTTGCGCTGGCTTCGTTTCCTGGTTGATATTCTCGCCATCCGGGGAGGACTGTTCAGGCTTTGAGGTGGGGCGCTGACACGTGCTGCAGCCCGGAGAGCCTTGCACACATGGACACTGAAGCAGACAGGGCCAGCTGGTAGTGCAGGGAAGGGAGTCGGATCCCACCAGGCCAGCTGACGGTGGTTCAAATCCCAGCCCAGCAGCACTGCGACCACGTCCCGTTGGAGGTGCGTTAGCTTTCTGACAGCGCGTGGGCTGCAGCACTCAGCCTAGCTGTGGCCATGTCTGCACACCCACCCGTGCCACTCGGGCAGCGCACCTCCCACATGGGGCCCAGTTCCCTGAGTGGGACAGGACCACGTGATAACAAAACACAGCAGCCTGCTAAGAGTGGTGACGGCACAGAGACTGCCACACGTGGCCAGGAGCTCAAGGTTGCTGGCCATGGAGGAGAGTGGACTAGCATCATGCCAGGACGCCGGCATGTGCGTGACCCCCCACAGCGCAGCGTGTGTTCCGGGGGGAGAAAACAAGAAGACGGACGTGAACAGTTACAGCAGCTGTGCGTGTGCGTCTGAGCCCCCACCTCACCTGTAGCGCTGGCATCGTGATACCTCGGGGCAGTGGCTACCTGCCCCTTGCCTGTCCTCCCTTGCAGAGTGTGTGGGCGGCCGGTGTGGGGCCCTCCCCATGCCTGCTTCCCAGAAGGCACTGGCCCCTGCACCTCCTCACCTCCCCTGGGCTTCACCCTTCAGGAGCCAGGCAGTGCATGTAAGGGTATTTGGGTTAAAATCCTTTCAGGATACCACAGCCCCAAGAACAGAAGAGCG